ATTCCACACACTATAATTCTATTTGCAGTGATAATGTGAAAAAATTAAAAAAAATTTTTTTTTAATAAACTGGAGTTGAAAAAAAAAAAAAACCAAGGGGGGGGGAACAAAAAAAAAAAAAAAAATATTTTTTGGCACCCCCCCCTTTTAATTTTTTTGTGGGATGCCTCCCCAGGGGGGGGGGGGGGGGGGGGGGGGGGGGAAATTCTTAGTTGCTTAATGCTAATGAAACAAAGAGAAGGTAGTGTTATGATGCAACAAGCATGGGAGAAAATTTTACCTGGGGTCGTGGTCTTGGTAAAGCACTGCTAACAGATGTAGAACGAGGAATCTCTGAACCTGGAGGAGGCTTGAGCAGGAGTAGGGAATTACTACTGTCATTTATCCCTGTTGACGCGGCGGAGAAAGTAATTCCAGTGTCATTGGTAGCTACCTCTGTCACTGTGAATAAAATTTCACAGACAATGATTGTTCATGTGAATAAAATGCATTTTATTTTAGGTGGCTGATCACAGTTTTGGAAGTTAGTGAGTATATGTCATTCGTCAAGATTGCAGCTCACAAACCGAAACTTGGCAAGTAAAATATATACTGATGAAAGATTTTGATTGACAGGTAAAATATGACGTTTTCAAAGTTTCCATGGCAACATGAACAATTTCAATTTTGCTCAGTTTACATAAAATTTGCTCATTAGATTTTCCTATAAACTTGCACACAGCTTACTACAATTAATCATCACCATTTGAAACTTATTTGACCAAATTTTAACAGATGGGTTTTTAGATAATCAATAATAATAAAATATTGTACTGTAATTATTAAATGCATTACAAAATTTGTCTATTCAACTTCCATTTTAAAGTTCTCATTAAAATATGATAAAAGTAAAAATTCTGCCAGATATCAAAAAATTTTGATGAGTAGATTTTGTGAAATAGTCTTCTGTGTGCCATTGCTTTTTTGCCGCCATGTTTGTTTGTCTAATTTAAAACACTTGGCATCATGCGAGTTACCGCTGACCGCCCGCAAAACTGTGTTCAGCCACCTTAAGTGTAAAGTACTTAGCATGATATTAATCATTGAGGACACTACTTTTACAGTTTCTTCTGGAGATTGAACTAACATTTTATGTGATCACCCAAGAAAAGCAAAGGTCTAGTGGTTTGCTGGGCAAAAGAGGTACCCCCATTTCTCAGTTATTTTAACATTCTGAGTAATGGGCCTGGATGTATGTAAGATAAGGTGTCATTTTAACTGCCTCCTGCTCTGCAATCAAGCACTCTATGGACTAAGCTAACACAGCTGCGCTCTGGCAACAAACAAAGCACATGAAATTTGCATTTGATTA